TTAATTATTTTTAATTTTTTTTTAAATTTCTTTAAAATTTTTTAAACATTTTTTTATTTTTTTTTAATTACAATGAGCGCTTTTTTTAAATTTTGAATTTTATTAATAAAAATCTCAACCAAATACAAAAGGTCGAATTATTGTTTTTTTATTTTTGATTATCCATTTTTATCGTTTTTTATAAAATCTTCCGATGATCCAAAAAACGATAAACGATAACGATAATTTTTAATCACTAGTAAATATATAAATAAAACAAAGAATAACAAATATACAACTTATAAATGATAAAGTATATATATAAGTAAAAAAAAGTATAAAAAAAAACAACTAATATATAATGTGTAATAAAAATGTAGTTTCATTTAATTTTAGATATTAAAATTTTATTTATACATTATTTGTATTTCATCAATAAAGTTCGGTAACTTTCTCATCGTTCTATCAGTTTGGGAAAATGGTAGTTCCTATTTTATTTTTAGAATTTGTCTTGTTACTTATAACCGAAGAGGGTACCAAATCTCAAATGTAATGGTGCAGTGCTCAGAATAAATAGGTAGAACCCCATACTTTATTAAGATGGAAATAATAAATATTGAATTAATAGGTCATATTTAATATTTAAATAAGAACCCCTAAAATAAATCATATTACAAGATATTGGTTTATTTGTTAAAAATTAAATGAATTGCTTCAGTCCCATGCCCACCAAAACACTGTTAAATAAATAAAATTTAGCTTTTATATTTATTATATATTAAAAGTCATTATTTTTTATTTTTTAATTTACATTGTTTTTTATAAATTAAGATAATAAAACCACAAGTAAATTTTGATAAATGATCATTATAATTTATTTTATACATATTAATTTTCATTAATTTAAATTAAAAATAAATGTAAATATATTGCATCTAAAGATATCATCTATAAAAAATTAATTGTGAACAGTAAATATATTTATAGAAAACTTTAATCTTTTATCTTTTTTATTTTTAAAAAAATTAATTCACTAAGGTAAAAAATATATATAACAAGTATATTTTTTTCTAATTTAATATATACTTGTTAATTTATTTAAACCACTATTTTTTGTTTTTTTTTTAAAAAAAAATAGTTTTATAAAAAATTATTTTATAATATTATTTTTTTTTATTATAACCAGTTTTATTTTATTTTTTTTAATGTATTGTATTGTATTGTATTGTATTGTATTGTATTGTATTGTATTGTATTGTATTGTATTGTATTGTATTGTATTGTATTGTATTGTATTTTATTTTATTTTATTTTATTTTATTTTATTTTATTTTATTTTATTTTATTTTATTTTATTTTATTTTATTTTATTTTTTAAATTTTATTTATTCTTTTTTATTCTTTTTTATTTTTTTTAACTATATCAATAAATTTAACTACCCTTTGGTCCAACCATTCTTTGTAAGGTAAATTTGATAACCAATCTTTAGGTAAATTTGAATAACCAATTTTACAGCCCAATAAAGCACCACAAACATATCCGTTACTAATTAAAAAAAGAAGTTAGTTAATTATAAAAAAATAAAAATAAAAAATAAAAATTAATACATACCAATCAGAATCACCACCTTCTCTAATAACTAAATTTAAAGTATCCTTAAAAGAATAGTTTGATCTTAAACCCCAGAAACCAGCACCCAATGCTTTAAAAACATAACTTAAAGAGTCGGAGTAGGATAAATTTAAAGAATCTAAAGATGTATTGTATATAATTTCTTCAAACTCGACTCTTTCTTGAATTGAACCTGACAACATTGAGCATGCACCTTTAACAACTTCTTCAATTACATTATCTACCTCTTCATTTTTTCTGTCACTGGTTGAGCTGAGACTTAATATCTTTTTGGTTGCGGCATTATTTAATAGCATTGCGATACTGAGAGCTAAAACATTGCTTGAAATAATACATCTTTGGTCGTAATGGGTTACTTTACAAATAGCACTTGAGTTTGCAATAACATTCTGTAGTTTGTCATATGATATAGCACCTAAAATTGTTGAACGTGGTAAACATCCGTTAGTTGCCGATCTTCTACCAGATGTTACCCAGTTCTTTTCACTTACATACAATGGATTACTTGTAAATTGTGGTTGTAAAACAATTGATGTAAAACTTGAACCAATACCTGCACTATCACCCAATTCTGAAAATCCTCCTATAACCCATTTTTGTAATTTTTTTGCAAAATGTACTTCGTCTACTTTACCATTATTTTCAATAATAGATTCCATAACTAAAATCATTTGATCTGATTCGTCAGTCCTAAAATTTTAAAAAATAATAATAATTTTTTTTTTAGAATATTATATTTTTATTTATATAAATTATATTTATATTTACCAATCGCCTCTAACCCATCTACAAGAGTTAGATGTTCTAATATTTGAAGGAAATGGTATAGCACTAGTTCCATATATTTTTATTATTTGGTCTTTATTTAATAATTCGGTTGCTTTATAAAATAAATGAAAATTAATATAAATTTTTTTTTTTAAAGTTTTTTTATAAACCTATATTTACCTAAACCATAAGCATCACCCAAAACTGACCCATATATACAACCTAAAATTCTGTCATAAAAAGGATCTTCTAATAAATTTTTGTCAAGTCCTGCAATATTATATCTGTCCATTTTTGTTATAAAGTTTTTTTTTTTTTTTTTATATTAATAAAATTTAAGTATTTAAAAAAAAAACCACACAATTATAATTGAAAAAAATTATAATTATTTATATAAATTTATTTTAAGAATAATTATTTATAACAATAATAAGTTTGACTTTTTTTTATTTTTATTTTGTTATTTTAATAAAATTTTATTAATAAAAAAATAAAAAATGGATTATTTAAAAATAAAAAAAAAATAATTAATTTATTTATAAAATAAATAAAAAAATAATATTTTTTAAAATAAGTTGTAGTAGTGGAAGTTTAGATATTTTAATAAATAGAAAGTCCGGATATTAATTTATTATTTTTATTGGAGAAAGATGGTAAACAAGCTTTAGTATAGTATTTATTGATTTAAAAAATATAAAAATAATAATTTTAAAAACATCATCATTTCATATAGTTGTTTTTTTACCACTTTGTTGTTTTTCTTGTGATAAAGATTATCCATATTAATGCTTGAGATATTGTGAAATACTGTTTATAAAACAATTTATATATAAAAGTAAAATAATTTGGGTGTAAAAAATTTATTTTTCTTTTTTAAAATTTAGTGATATAGTTGGTGTTGTTTTGTATATTTATGTGTTATTAATAAAAATACGTGTGGTGGTGAATGATTATAATAAGTATTGTTTTTTTTTTTTTTTTTTGATTTAATTTTTGTGTACAAAAAGTTTAGTATTGCTAATAGATATTGATATGAACAGTATTAAAATTGAATTTAATAATAAAACTATCGGTTAAAATTTAATAAAAGTATTATTATTCAATTTATTTATTTTTTTAATATATAAATGGATATTTTTTTTTTGTTTTTTAAATTTTTTATTTATTTTTATTTTTTTTTTATTGATAAATGTGAATTTGATAGTGGTGATTATAATAGTGTGTGAGTGTGTACTTTGGTTTAGTTATAAATAAAAGTGCTGTGTAAAACAAGTTTTTTAATTGTGTATATATGTGTGGATTTGTGTGTTGGGGGTTATGTGTGTATAGATATTTTTTTATTTTTTTTTTGATATTTTTTTTTTTGATTTATTAAAATAACTGTGTATCTTTGTGAGTGTTAATCCGTAACCACAAAAATGGGGTTATTATTTTTGTTTATTAACCAAAAATACAATTATTAAAAAAAAAAATTAGATCATACCATATATAATTATTAAACATATCAAATTTAACAATTTTTTAATAAATGATAGATTTTTAAATACATGTGTTTGATTTTTTATATTATAACATAAATAAATGTAAGATTTTAACCAAATTTGGTTATTAAAAGAGATAGCATGTAAAATTATTTATGTATCATTTTATATAAAGATATTTATTTTAACAAATTCAAAGATCTTATACAATACAAAAAAAAAGAAAAAAAATATTTTCTCGTAGACCAATTTATAATAAAAAAATTCTTTTTTTATATTTAAAAAATAAATTAATAAAATTAATTAAAATTAAATTAAAACTATTTTTATTTTGTTTAAAAGATTTACTTTATAATGATGATATCGGTGTTTTATGAAAAATAATACAATTTTAATTTATTTTTTTATAATTAATATTTACACTTTAAGATTTATTTAAATAAAAATATTGTTATAATATATTCCATTTTGATATAAGTAATAATTTTATATTTCTAATCAATCAATAATTGATTTATTTTAAGTTTTTTAATAAGTTGAGATTTTCTCTTTTTTCTTTAAGTTTTTGTTTAATTGTATTTACAATATCTTCCTTATTTAATAGGTTGGTTAAATGTGGCCAATAGAATTGTTTATTGGATTCTTCTTCGTCGTCATCATCTTCTTCTTCTTCTTCTTCATAATCCTCTCCTTCATCCTCCCCATCGTCTTCATAATGGATTTCTTCTTCTTCTTGATCACTACTTTCATCTTCATTAATTTTTAAACCACCTATAGCCTCTCCCATTTCTTTTTCGTCATCGTCATCATTGAATGTGACAATATCATCATTGATAAGATTTTTTAAATCACGCGACATACCATGTGCGTCATAGATATTGATTTCTTGTAGCTTTTCTATTTGTTGTAATTGTTGAGATTGAAGATTTGGATACATTTTTGATGTATTTGAGGTTGGGGCTGTATATTCCATTGGTGTATGATAAATATTTCCAGTATGTGATATATTAACAACTTTTCTTAATCTGGTTTGTTGTGAGGCTGATGAAACAGGTGGAGCTGATGAAGTAAGTGGAGCGGGTGGAGCTGATGAAGTAAGTGGAACGGGTGGAGCTGATGAAGTAAGTGGGGCAGGTGGAGTATATGAAAGTAATGATAACCTTGGTTCATTATCTAAATCAAACTTAGGATACAATGATGTTGATTGTGAAGATGCAGAAAAAGTTGGTTGTGGAGCAGATAGAGAACTTTCTCTAGAAACAAATGATGATGATGATGGTGATATTGAGGTTCTAGGAGATTTAGTTTTAAACCAACTGAAAGGACTAGGTTTTTTCAATTCTTGTTTTTTAAATAATGATGATTGAACCTCCATATCCGTTGGTTGGACTATTTCGTGAACTGGTAGTGGTGGTAATGGAGTTATTGGAGCTGTATCTAAAAAGACCATTGATTCTACTGGTAATGGTGGTAATGGAGTTATTGGAATTGTTGGAGGTGGTGGTAATGGAGTTGTTGGAATTGCTGGAGGTGGTGGTGGTGGTGAAGCTTGTGGAGGTTTTGGTGGGATAGGTGGGGCAACAGTTTTTGGTGGAACAGGTGGGGCAACACTTACAGGTTTAGGTGAGGCAGTTGGAGCAGCACCTCCAGGTGGTGGAGCAGAAGAACTTCTTAAAGGAGCTGCATATGGTTTATTTATAGCACCAAGTGGTATATCACTGGAGCTGGGTATTGGCGGAGCAGGACGAGAGGGTAGTGAACTAAAAAGATTGATAGCTGGTGGTTGTGATTTTTCCTTTCTATATATATTTGGTGGAGCAACAGTTTTAACAATAACCGGTGGAGTTACTTTGACTGGTGCAATTTTTTTACTTAATGCTGGTTTTTTGATTGAACACTCTTTTTCTAATAATTGTTCATTTTTAAAATTAACTTCACTATCAGTTTCTTTTTTCATAACTCTTGAATCTTTTTCTAAAGATTTTTTAATATTTGAATGAATGATTGAATTTGTGGTTGAAACAGTTTCATGAATTTTTCTAACTTCATTTTTAAAGTTATTTACAGTGTCCATAACATCTTTTTTCTTTAAAACTTTTCTTTTACCTTTGGTACGTTTGTTTTCTTTTGATTTTTCCATCAAAGCTTCTTGAATAATTGATTGAAGATCTGCAGTGTATTGTGGGTCAGACATTTCTTCATTTGTTATACCAATTTCATCAAAGAGAGCTTGCCACTCTTTTGGAATATTTCCACTGCCACCAGAGGCAAAAGTATTTGATGTCATTTCCATGTGACCAGAGTTTTGATTTTGTGACTCGATTGCATTATGATTTACAATTGGAACTGAGCTATTTGATACTTTAGCAGGACCATTAATCCAACCAAACAATTTACTAATACCACTTTTTGTTAGATTGTCTTTTCTTTCACGAAGTGTGTGGATTAATTCTGAATCGATATTATGGATCTCTAAAATTTGTAAAGATTCGTTGATTAGTTTTAACTCTTCGTTCTTATCTTTTTTGATACGGTAATATTTTGAAAAACTGTATCTCATAAAAGCACGAGAATAACGATCTGGTAATTGATCAACAATTTTAATTGAAGATTTAAACAAAGGCACAGATTCTGATTGTTTATTTTTATTTGAATCCCAAGAGAGATAAAGTTGAGCTAAATGATTTTGAGATGTTGCAACCAATGCACTATTTTTACCCAATTTCTTTGTTCTAATTTGAATTGCATTACATAAAGATTTTTCCGATAGTACATAGTCTCTATTTTTAGCATAAACAATACCTAAATTATCTTCGGCAATAGCTACATCTGAATGATCTGGTCCTCTATGAGCAATAAAAATTTCTCTAACCTTTAAAAAGATTTCAATAGCCTTTCTAACTTCGTGGGTAGTAATGAACAAATGACCAATATTATTTAAAGTTTTAGCAGTTGTTAAAGAGTTACCAGTCTTTTCATTTTTGATTCTTAAAGCCTCTGAATAGTTTGCGATAGATTGTTGGAAATCATTTTTATTTTGATAAACCCAAGCTAAATTATCATAAGTATCAGCAATTTCTATATTATCAGTTGATAAAATTTTCTTTTTAACTTCTAAAACTTCTTTGAAAATTTCGGCAGCTTTATCAATCTTATTTCTCTTGATCAAAACCAAACCTAATTTCTCTTTAGTTGTTACAGTACCAAGATCCTCCGAACCAAATCTTTTAATATAGATATCTACAGCTTGAATTAAATGGCCCTGTGCTTCTTTTAAATATGAATTTGAAGTATAAAGATCTGATAAATTTACATGAACTTGAGCGACCTGGGTGTGTTCTTCACCCAATTTGTCAATTTTATACTTTAATTCTGTGAGGTAATATTTTTCTGCATCTGAAAATTGTTCAAAAGCTTTAAAAGTTGATAAAATCTTCATATGCTTGACTATAACAGTGATTTCGATAAAATCAGATAGTTGAAGTATGGGTATTGCAACATTGAAACCAGTGTTATTCGAAATTTGTTTCAATACTCCTAGATAATGTGGACTTACTACAATACCAGTTAGTTGGCTGAATTTCTTTAAAAATTTATAACGTAACTTTAGTTGGGTATTAAAAAGGGTGAAAAGACCATATGATTCGGTTATTAAAGATCTAACTAAAGAAGCTTGAGGCATATCTGGGAATGATGATGTGAATTTGGCAGATAAAGCATTAGCAATAAAATTGACCCAATAGAGATGACTATTTACAGATGGAACAACTGGTAAAATTAAATTTAAATGATTTAAAACAATTTGTAAATGCTCACGGTCTTCTTGTTCGTTTAATTTACGCATTTCTGAGAATACAACGAATCTTAATAATCTTGATAACATTTCAACTATAACTTTTCCCTTTAATACTTCGATTCTATTTAATACAATCTTCAAACTATTACCTGCTGCAACCAATTGATATAACACTAAACCATAGTATCTAAGATTGATTCCATTTGAATGTAATAATTCCTTTAAATTTAACCTCTTCAAAACTGTATTTTCTTTTAATAAAACGGTATCTACAAAGTTTGGTATAATTTTTGTAATTAAATAATTTGTTGCCTTTTCAATTTCACGATTATAAAACTCTAAATCTACAACTTGAAAATTTGAAAATGAATCTGAACACAATTGAGTTTCATATTTCTTTACAAATTCTTCTCTAAATAATTTATATAAAAATCCACCTGTGATACCAATTTGTGGTTTTTCTGGTGGTAATAATCTTGCAGAATCAACCTATTTAAATAAAATTTATAATATTAGAATATATTGCTGATACTATGAAAAAGAAAAACGAAAATGAAAAATGAAAAAAAAAACTGATAAAAAAATTTTAAAAATACTACTTACAATATAATAACGACCATCTGTACCATAATGACCTTCAATATCAATTGCTAATGGAATTTTTACTTGTTTTGGTGGCTTCTTTGATTCACTATTATTGCTTGAAATTAATGGTGGTGATTTTTGATTTTCTTTTGCATCGTGAGCTTTGAGATTTAATATTTCACCAATTTTAACCATCATTTTTGAAACGGTTTCATTATCATGAATTGTGGCGCCAGCATTTGAACTACCAAAAACTATGGTATTTGATGTGATTGGTAATTCTGAAATTACACTAAGACGGAAACCTCTATAATTCAATAAGCAAATCAATGGAACATGTAAATTTAAACCACACGACAACAACACACTAATACTTTTAAGTTCGTGGCCTGCACTTTTATTTGCAAAGTAGGATAAAGTATTATTACCTTCGTAAATTTTAAATGGATTTAATGCAAATTTTATAAACATTGAATCGATTTTATATTTTTCGCCACCTGCAAAACCACCAATTTGGTATGGTTTAATAGTTTTATCCTCTGGTGATAAATGAACTTCCCTAACCAATGTTTTAACATATTTAATTGCTTGATTAGCCAACAATTGGGACATGTTGCTAATATTTAAATTTCTTTCAAGTTCTTCCTCTGATGATTTAATTGGCTTATCCAAGATTTGTTGAAAACTTTCATTCCATGGTAGAACATCTTCTTGTGGTTGCTGTTGTTGCAGATGATTTAATGAAGCCGTTGAATTTGTTGAGTTTAATAGTCCCGATGATGTGGAGGATGTTGAATTTATTAAATTTGCTGTTGCTAAATTAGCAGAACCTGATGAATTTACTAATTGTATTGAAACATTGCTAGAAGATGAGGAACCTGAAGAATTTAAATGTGTGGAACCTGCTGAATTTAATAATGTTGGAGGAGATGAAGATGATGATGATGAATTTTGATGGTTATGGAATATATAATGATAGCTAGAGTCCATTAAATTATTGGATTTTGTATTTATAGGGTCTAAATATTGTTCGATATAGTTGGAAGAACCATTTGATGATCCAGAGTCTTGTAGTTTATTATTGTTGGCACTATTATTTAAATTTGGATAACCACCATAACTACTGCTATTTGTCATATTAATGATTGAATTCAATGATTGATCATTTGATACAGACAATGGTTGGATGTAGTTTGATGAGTATGATGATGAAGCTGAAGAACCTATTTTTAAAAAATGTATAAAAAAATATTAGTATAAAAACTCCAGAATCATATAAAATCTAAAATTTAAAATAATAATATATTATTTACCATCATTTTTCCACAATGATTCTTTCATGACATAAGCAGTTGTTGGTTGACCATATGATACAGAATTGGTGTTATAGATCGAGTTTTTGGCATTTCCATAAATACTGGCACCGTTTATACTGTAGCTACTATTACTATTGCTTGTGTAAACATTAAATGCATTTCCATTATTTTCACTAGTTACTGAATAAATTTTAGAGTATGAAGAGGAACAAGTTGTAGAAGGATCGATTATATATGAACAAACTGATTTATTCTCTTGATTTAAGTGATATGACTGAAACTCTGCAATATGGCTAATACATGAATAACTTTCTTTTTTTAAATAATACCATATATCTTCATTGTTGTAAATATTCGAACCAATATTACTATTTGTAGTATTACTATTAAAGCTTGAATTACTAATTTTAATATTGCCACTGTTATTATTGACAATAGTCTTTTTATATTGATAATTATTAGTTGATGTGGTTGATGTTGTATCGTCTATATAAATACTGGCATCACTATTATTATTATTATTTGTATTATTTTCGTCAATATAGGCAGAAGAAGAAGGTGTTATATAACTACTCATTTTTAATATATAATGAGTATGATATAAAAAAAAAAAAAAAAAAAAAAAATTATTTTATTATTTTATAATAAAATAATATTATAATAAAATATTTTTTTTTTTTTTTATGTCTTATTATTAATAACTATACTATTATTTATATAAATAATATATATAAAAAATATATAAAAAATATATATAGGTAATATAAACTATTAATATTTTTTTATAAAAAAATATTAAAATAAAAAATATATTTATCTTTAAAACAAAAAAAAAAAAAAAAAAAAAAAAAAATCATTTAAAAACCTAAAAAAAATTTTTAATTATTTTTTAATTTTTTTTTATTTATAATTAATTTTATTTATATTTTTTTTTTTTTATTCAATGAAGCAAAAAGCAACCTTTATATGTTTTTAATATAAACTCAAAATTTTAAATTATAATAATTTTAATTAAAATAAATTAACCAATTTAATATAACCTTTCACCATTATCGATTTAAATGAAGAAAGGAAAGCTAATAATAGTGGCAGATCTTATTTTGGAATTGTAAAAGTTTGAGACCCACAAGCTTATTTTGAAGGGAAAACTACAGTATTATCTAGAAGGGCCAAAAAAAAATTAAATAAAAAATGAATAAATAAAATGAAAAAATTAAATACAAAAATGGTTTAGAAATAAATAATATAAATTTTAAAAAAAAAATAAATTAAAACTTTTTTTTTATTTTTTTATTTTTTTTATTTCTTTTTCTATTTCATGAAATAAATCTAATTGTACAAAATTTATTATTTTTATTTTATTTTTTTAACTACCATTATTATTATTATTATTATTATTGTTTTTATTATTTTATTATTAATTTTTATTTATTATTTTTTATTTATTTAAATCAATTGAATTATCACTATATTCATTTTCATTGATTTGAGAATTTTGTTGTGGTGATAATTGTTGTGGTGATAATTGATCTCTTGGGGTAGAGTCTTTAGAGTCTACTTTGTGATGTTGTTTAGAAGATGTGGTTTTTTCAGTTGGTGGTGGATCATCAGCTTCTAATTGACCCAAAGCTTGAGTGAATTGATTTAACTCTTCACGACCTTTTTGGATTGAATAGCCACTTGAAATTAAAAGATAATGACGTTTAATAAATTGTTGAACAACAGGAATATCATTGATGTAGACTTCACTTAATGATACAGATGGATCCCATTCGGTGAGATCTGATTGTCTAACGACATCAAAGAATTGTAATAAAGTTGGTTTCCATCTTTCCATTGCTTCATTTAATTGTTGAGCACATGTTTGTGAGGTCATAAAGTTTTGATTACAACCAAAGTTAAAGAAAATACTTGAAAAGAAAGTTAATACCTCAGTGGCTTGATCTGATGGTATGACATGGAATAATGAATGGGTGTATGGTTTAGCAATAGCTGGTGCAAAAAATCTAGAAAATAAGAAACATCCAATTGGTGGTGATTTATTTGATGGTGATAATTTTGCTAAACCATTTTGAATTTCTATTGAGGCTTTCTTTAAAAATCTATAGATACAATGATAATCAAAAATTAGAATCATTAGAGTTATTATTATTATTATTTTTATTATTTTTATTTCATAAATAATAATACTTACGGTGGTAAATATTCACAAGAATCTTTAAATATGTTCATAATATATTCAAATTCTGAAATTAGGTTTTGAATACCTTGTTGAGTCGAGATACGATAGTTGTCATGATAGTTTATAATGTTTGTAATAGATTGGTCAAACAAGTATTTTAAGTATGGTGTGGTTGATTGGAGATTACTTAACTCTTCAATGAATTCACATGAAACAATATCGTTTGCTAACATTGAACCACTAATTGAAATATTTGGTAAATCGGCTTGGACCATAAAAGTTAACATTTCAGATAATTGACCACGTGCTTCAAAAATACGTACTAAATTTGAAATAAAGTGAATTGGTGGTGGTGGAGTTATAACAACATTTGTATTTGGTGGTGGTGGTGGTGGGAATAATTCGATCTTTCTGAATTCTGCCAATTGTTTCCATAAGAAAAATGGTGGTGATACTAATAACTATTAATATTAAAAATTGGGAAAAAACAATTAGAAAAAATAATTTTTATAAAATGAAATACAGCCGCTATATTTAATATTTACATCGATAATATTTTGATATTTTAAATTTTCTTCTTTTTGTAATTCTGCAATTCTTCTTTGATCTCTTTCAATAACTTCTTTTTGGAAGAAATCTTGTTCACTTAAACACCAGGTTCTTAAACTATCTATATAGGTCTTAATGCTAGCATATTCGGTATAAGCATTACCATTTGATAGTTGTAAAGATTCGAAATGTAATACCAATATATCAATAAACTCTGTATGCATTTTGTTTTGAGTATCAATTAAAAATTGTATATATTCATTTTTAACATTTTCATAGTTTGTCTTTAATTTTGATTTTTCTTTTTCGTACTATATAATAAATAAATTTTGGTGTCAATAAAATATTTTTTTTTTTTTTTTTTTTTTTAAAGGAAATTTACGTTATAGAGTTTTAAAATATCAATTTTTTTTTGAGTTTGTTGATTTTTGATTTTGGCAATAATATTTTCAAATTCTGTGTATGTTTTATCAAATTTCTTTCTATATTGTTTTTTTTCGTCAATATAACCAATTAATATTTGAATTGGTTTAATAATACCTTCAGAAATTGATGTACTCTAAATTAAATTATGATAATATATTAATATTTTGATTATTATTATTATTATTATTATTATTTTAAAATATAATTTTAAATTTGGTACCTACAAATTCACTTTCATAACCAGAGGTTTTTGTAATTGATGAAGTAAATTGTTCCAAAGCTTTAATGAAACCTAAATTTGAATCAGAGGTGCTTTGAGATTCGGCTGAACTTTGCAATTGTTGTTGTTGAGCATATACTTGTTGAGCAGAAGAAGAATGGGTAGTTGATTTTTCATAATCTTTAGAGAATGATTGTGACCATTTTACTTGAGTTTTAGCATAGGCATCACCACGTTCGTTTAAAACCTTTGCAGTTTTTATAATATCATTTAATAAGGCTTTAATATCTGCTAAATTCTTTTCATATGTTTTAATTTCCAATGGTTCGATAACTTTTTCGTTTGTGGCATCACCATATGGTGTGTGTAGTGAAGAGTCTGGACTGCTACCATTTATTCCTCCATTACTGTCAATCATTACGGAGCTTCTATCACCACCTAATGACAGGTTCATAGAACTGCTCTTTCTTAATAATGCTGTAAATTTTGACATATTTTTATTATTTTATTTTTAATTTATTATTTTGTAATTATTGTTGTACACGTAGTAATATCATAAAATTAAGTTATTACTATTATTTTATTACTATTATCTTATAAAAATAAAATTTAATATTTAAAAAAAAAAAAAAAAATTTTTAAATGATTTGTATAACAATTTTTTATTATTATTATTTTTTTTTTTTATTTTCTAAAATATGTGGGTGTGGGTGAAGGGTGTTTGTTGATATTGTTTTTTATGATTTTATTATTATAAACAAAATAAAAAAAAAAAAAAATAAAAAAACAATAATATTAAATTAATACAATGTTTAAAAAATTTGGATTAAAAGTACAATGTAATATGACAAAAATAAATGATATTATTACAAATAATAAAACAGTGTGTATTATTCGAAAAAAAAAAAACTAGAAAAAATTTTTTGAAAAAAAAAAAAATAAAAATAAAAAAAAAATAAAATTTAAAAAAATAATTTTATAAAATAATTATTTTAAAAAAAAAAAAAATTAAAAAAGATATTAAATTTTTTGGCTTTAACTTGATTTCTTTTAATTTGCATATATGGTTTTGTTTATTATATTTTATTTGAAATATAAAAATATAAAGATTTTTATATTTTTATAAATTCTAAATCTCAAAAAAAAAAAATCATAAAAAAATTCCAAATATCCCAAAAAAATTAAATTAATTTTTGTTGGTAATAGAAATGTTTAAGGGGCAACAGTAGTTATAATGTCACAATATTGCTATATTTACGAGCAAAAATAGAAAAAACGAAATAGTTTTGTTTAAATCAATTAAAGTAAAACATTTATATTTATTGAAAGTTTAGTCAAAATCAATTTTTGTATTTATAAAATCAAGAATAATAAATAAAATATAATAAAAAAAATTAAATTAAAGTTTATTTTTTTTAAATAATTTATAAATGAATATTTTTACTTTAAAACATCCTGGGTTTTTATATACTAAAAGTGCAAGAGATATAATGATTATAATAAATAAAACTACTGATCCAACGACAATACCTGCTATTTGGGTTTTACTGAGATTGGAGTTATTGTTACAGCTTGGTTTATATGAATCTACTAAAACGGAGAAATCTGGATCAACAACAACATTATTTGAAAACTGGCCAATATTTATTCCAATAAATGATTGTAGGTATTGATGATCTTGTTTAGTTTGATAAATATCCATTTCTTTTATATCGTCTGAGTTTAAAAGTGTGTTTGACAGTGTTTGAATAATTCCATCGTCAATAATACATTTTTTAATAAATCTTCCTTTTAAACTATAATTTCCAATCTGGAGTTTTAAGTAATCTGAATTTTCTATTTCTAAATTACCAAATTGTTGGCCCGAGCACGAAGAAGTATCAGATGATTCTACCATTGCTTTCATAACTAATTGTAATGAGTTTAATTTACTAGTGAATGGATATTTAGAAATCATTATTGTATATTTAATGGTAGATGGATTAATGGTGATGATTTCATTTGCAAAATTTAGGGTTGATTCGATATTATACCATTCTAATATTACTGTAATATTTGATACAACTTTATTTTCTTTTTGAATTGTCGAAAAATAGCTATATTTGGTTATATATTCATCCATTAATAATAACTTATATTCCCACTCTGTAAAATAATATAGATTTGTTTGATCTGAATAAATATCTAATTCTCTTATACCCACAACTGATATAATACTTGAAAATGTTATATTATCTTCTCCTTCAAATGTTATGTTTGTTAATGGATGTGTTTTATTAATATTTGGTGGTGTCACTGTAATGAGTTTCGACATACAATCTACTCCTGCCCATGGGAAAAAACATTTGCATCCAGTAGATAAACACTCACCACGTGATTGTCCTCCACACAAGGGCTGTCCTTTACATTTTTCATTTGTGGGTGTTTCGGTAACAGAATTTGAATAGTCGTAAATAGTGGGAGTTATTATAAATGGTATACCCTTTTGAGATAATTTTGATAATCTAATTTTAATAGGTTTGGTTGTAGCTTTGATAGATGAAAAATATGCAAGTGTTGGATACTGTTTATCAGCTGATATTGTTTTGAAAGTATTTTCACCATCATATTGTATTTCAAAACTTGATGCTAAATGTAAATTAAAACCATAAACCCAAATACCACCTGCACCAGAGCTTGATAAAATCGATGAACCGGAAATGATTCCAAAACTTTTTTTGTATGTGCAATGTAAAGTATTTCTTAAACTTATTTCAGAGAGCATTGATGGGGTGAAACCACGTGTAGTACCTGCTTTAGAATGGAGACCATAAACTGAAATCTGATATGAATCCGCCCCGTTATATGGTAACCAAATCTTCGATGAGAACTCGGTATGAGAAATATTTGAAGACAAAATGGTTGTTTGGAATGACTTTAAATAAAAATCAAGAGAGTTTAAATAAATACTTGGTAAAACAGTTTTTAAAAGACCATCTTGATGAAATGCTGTATAGTTGAACACTAAAAATTTTGATCCATCTATATAATCAAATTGAGCATTTTCCTCGAACTCCAATGAAATTAAATCTGGTATAATATTGTGGCCATTTTGAGTTGGTAGTGGGTCATTACATATGCTGGTAATAGGTGGATTGAAATTATCAAAAATTAAATAAAAAGGATTCTTGTTATTGATAGTTAAAATATTGAATTCTGTAAAATAACCTTGTGTATCTTCAAAATATGCATAAACAATTGAAAATGTTTGGGTGATACATGGAATGTCATATTCAAAATATACTGAATAAACCCCTCTATAAACGGTACCAATAAATAAATTTGATGAATCTATTGTTATATTTCTTTCAGTCATGTCATTTGAACCTTTGACTATAATATATCCATATTTAAATCCATTTGAGTTATCTTTTATCTCCAATGTATAACCGGTTTTTAATTTATCTTTACCTGCTATACTTGGAATAGTTTTAACATTGGTAACTACTGGCCCAAATAAATCAATATCTATAAAAAAATAGTTTGTATATATTCAATTAGCATAGTGTATTTTTGTTTTTAATAATTATAATTACTTTTGGACTCTTTAATTCGTAATTGGTATTCTATTGGCAAAGAAAAGCTAAAATAGTTAACATTATCTCTAGAATCCAGTGTAATAAAATAACTGACATTTCCTGTTTTAATATTCATAGGAATGTTAAACTCAAATTCAAATTGTTTTAAATTTTTATTATAATTTGAATAAACTGTATCTTTCTTTTCATTAGCCCTGTAATCTGAATAAATGAATGTAGCTTTAATATTTCTATCTATAGGAAAACTTTCATCCAATTTTAATAACAGTTTATTTGATATTCTTTTATTTGTAACCACCAAATCATTCAATAAAAAGTCTACTTTCTTTAATCCGGTGGTATAATTAAAACCTGAACAATAAGAAAATATATTAGAATTATTTTTATAAAGTGGGTTAATACTCTAAATTTTCATTTTACCTTGTGTGAAATCTAAACTATCTATACTAGGTATTCTTTTTATTTTTTCATTTTCTTTAATAAAAAACATTTTGCTAAGGGTGATTTGAAGGGTATTTGAATTTGGGTCGTTAAAAAAAATCCCATCCAATCTAGTTTTTGGTAAAATAATTTGGTATTCGGGCCTACTTGCAGTTGGATCAGATAATAACATTTTACTTTGGGGATAATTTGCATAAAACTTACCATTTGAATCACAAACCTGAATTCTTTCTATTTTTATTGATACATTAAAGGATAAAACCACCAGGTCATAGGGAATTAGTTCAAGATTAAACTCCGTTAAATAAAAACTTTCTATGGTAGTTTCATCTTAAAAAAAAAATTATTAATATATTTATTCTTAAATTATTTTTTTAATTTTATAATATTATTTTACAAACCATTGCCATCTATTGTTTGATCGAAATCAATACCACTAACTTTAATTCTAAAATATGATGGGTACTTTCTAATTTCAGGAGTTGAAATTTGAAAAGATATCAAAGAATCTGTAGTATTTATTTTTACTAAACCAAAAGGGAATCTTAATTTCTGGTCTTCAAATTGAATTTCGTATGGAAACTTTTTTAAACCTGAAAATATAGGTTCATAGAAACTATAAATTGGATCAGTTTGTTTTTTTAATTGAAAAATTGAAATATTTAAATCTTCAATAAATAAAAAAATAAATAAATTGAAAAATAATAATTAGTTAATGACATAATACTTACTTTTTTGATTATAGAGCCTAGAATAGTTTTGAAACTGTGAGTTTAAATAATATGATAATGTATAGTTTGTTTTAATTAAAGTATCCATGATAGATAATGGGGCTAAATATGTATAGTTACTATTATTATTTGATCCAATTAGAAATGGCTCATATAAATGGGGAGAGGATACAGATGAAGAAATAAAAAAATAATTATCCAAGTTTGTTAAGTTTGAAATCTCCAAGAATGCAGCATCATTTATCTCCTGTGGTGATCCATCTGGATAGTATTTAATAACAGGTGAACTATTTGAAGCTTTATTTAAAAAGAGGTGAATTAGAGTTTTAAAATTTTTTATTTACAGATAAATTTATATTTACATTTAAATGGGGATTTGACTGTAAAATTTGCTATATAATCACCAAAATAAAGATTAAATGGGACTTCATTGTTTGGAAAAAATGAATACTTATTTAAATTATATGAAACAAAAATAGTATTATCACCAAGGTAATTTTGTTGATACGATTTTATACTTAAACTTAAGACTAAACTTAAATACAAATTTTCAGTTGGTATGTGATCGATTTTTATTATATATCCAAAAGAATTATAATATATTGCACTATTTAGTACCCTTATAGTAGGTTTTCCAAAAGCTTGTTAAAAATAAAAATTAAAATTATGTTCGATTTAAATGCATATAATATATATAATAATAAAAGGTTTTTATTTATGAGAAATATACAAACATTGACAAATAAAATTAAAACTAAATGGTACTGAGGATACCTCTAAAGTAACTGTATTTGTACCTGCCAAAGCTACAAAAAGAGTTCCAATAACTTCATTTTTATCATCACTTTGGTAAGTTGGTAAAAAAGAACTGGAATTTGTTTTAAAATCCAAAACCCCTTTTAAATCACTTATATGCAACGGTATTGAAAATAAACAAGGAGTTGTTGACGAGGAAGATGGATACCCATAAAAAGTATCAGAATTATTACCATAATACAACTCTTGCACAGATTGCGAAAAAACAAAATAATTACTGATAGAAAAATAAATTAGAAAATTTATAATAAAATATAATTTGATAAACCAATTAACCATTTCTATATATTATAAATTAAAAATAAATAAACAAAATAAATATAATTAAAGAAATATTTTTTTTTTTTTAAAAAAAAATATTTTTAAAGATATTTTATTGATAGAAATATTTAATAAAAAAAGTAATAAAAATATCTATAAAAAAATTTTACATTAGAATGAACTGGTTGATCGGTTTTTCGGTTTTTTATGTAAATTTAAATTAGAGTTTTGATCAATTAATTATAAAAAAAAATTATACATAAATACTTTTAATAATATTAAAATCACTTGCTTAATATAATTATTATTTTATTACAATATAACTATTATTTTTTATAATTTGTATTTATTAAAAAAGTTTTTATTAAAAAAAATTAATTTAATAATTATTTATTAATTTTTTAATTCAAATTACAGTTGTTCAAAGTTTGTATCACTGGGTTTCATCAATTTAAAATAAATTTATTCAACCTTGAAAGAAAATAAAAATATTTAACAATTTTTTTTTATAAAAATATATAAACTTTATTTGTTTTTTTTTTTGTTTTGTTTTAAATTGATATTTAGTTAATTTTTAATTTTTCAAATTCAGGAATAGAAATTAGAGCATCAACAAATGATAATCTTTGTGGAATATAACCATGTAATTGTGGACTTAATAACCTTCCATGTTCTCTAAAGTGATAAATTAAAATTTTTGAATCCATTGTCTCGAGTCTACAGAGTACACCAGTGATTGCGATATGATAGTTTGATAATATTGAATGGTCTTTGGGTAGATCTGAAATGAATTGAACTGCCTTTTGACGAAGGTAATGTACGTCTTCTGGTGGAATTGTATCTTGAATTTCTCTATGATATAATAATACGGAAAAGAAGAGGTAGTTGAAATAAAATGAACCGTTGGTAAAAAAAGAGTATTTATGAAGCAAGTTGGATACAAATTTGATTTTACCTGTATAGATTGCAAAAATGCATTGGAAATATGCTATGGCCTGATCATATTTATTTGAAAACGATGAATTTGAAGCGGTAGCAATATCTGGTACGGGTACTACTTTTTTATTTGCGATTTTTAAAAGGTCTTTAAGGCATTTGTGATGAAAACGATTTACACCGAAATAAGCAATTGTTACAATTGGGTTGTTTGGTTCATCCTTATACAATTCATCTATAAAGCTATTAATAAAATGGATGTTTTCGGATGGGATACGAATAAAATCAGACATATCTAGAGTACAGTACAATTCTGTCAATGGTTCAATCAATCCTATTCTTTGTTGTAGAGTTAGTTGGTTCTCTTTAAAAGTAGTTTTGAGTGGTTGTTTTGGAATGTTTGTAAATAACTGTATAAATTTTGAAACTTTTGTTAATATTTCGAATATGTTTTTTGAAAATACCGAGCCATCTTGAACCATTGATTTCTTTACTAGGTTTGCATCCAATGGATATGTTCTGTATTCTATATCATTCTTTCTGAAATTATCACCAAATACTCCATGTTTGATTTTTAAATCTGATGGTTTAATAGGGGCTTCAGCTAAACCCGTTCTTTGAGCATCACAAATATCTGAAAGGAATATAGACAAAGATGCACCCTGTCGCCATATTTGTTGAGCTGTACATAAATTCTCCAAAGTTGGTGTACCACATTCACTAAATCTTCCATTTAGATACAAAAAACCCAGTGTAAGATGACAATTTGCATTTACATTGGCCATTTTTTGTAAATCTTCTTTTTTAAACTTCATAGTGCATTGAATTGATTTTTCCAGGAAATATTTCGCAGCAAGAACATCCATGTCATTACCAAGCCATCCATGTAAGTTTATCAATCCTAAAATTTCGCAACACTTTGAAACATTGAAATTTGAAAAAAATAGTTTATGGGTTTGATTGAGTAATGTTGAATTGGGTAATGGACACAAAGAACCCTTAATCATCATTGCCATTTGAAAATCCACTTTTTTTGATAAAACTGCCAAATCAAAATAAACATCTGCAGATTCAGAACCATCACCAGCCAATTTATATAAGACTTCTTTATCCAGCAAACCATTAGAAAAACTATGCCAGGTTATAGAATCTAGAACCTTTGCCTCTGGAAAACCGTTTTTAATAAATTTATCGAAAATACTTTTTGATTCCTCTAACCTTTTCTTTAAAACTTCATCAGGTAATTTTACATTAAACTTCCCTTTCATTAACTTGAGGTATTCATACTTTCCATATAGTTTTAATTTACTTTCCTTTTCAATGTCTCTTGTTCCATCTGGTTTCATTGATTTCTGAATAATTAAAAGTTTGGATTTGGTCTCTTCAATTTTTGAATTAATTTCATCTTTATAGGATTCTTCAAGTATTAAAGCTGCTTGAAGGAAATCCATTGCTGCTGAATAGTTTGATAAAAAAATTAATATATTGGCCACACGAAAATATGGTTTACCCCATGTTGGCCTGAGCGCAATTGCCTCAAGCCCTCTTTTTTTAGCCTGGGTTAGTGAGTCAAAATCTTTACAATTTGGTATGTGCTTTGAAAATACATCATGAAAAACCTTTGCAATGCTTCTATAATGCGAATATGAGATGCTCAAATTTAAGCACAACATACTCTTTGTAAAGTTGGACAAATTATTTTGATCCAATGCATCACTAAAACTTTGGATTGCCCTATAATAGTCACCATTTGTAAAGTGTTTTTTACCAATTTCCTTGATATTATCTGCAACATTTTCACTGCCTCTATTGGCGTCATTAATGTTTCTTTCTGTGTCTGTTTGTAAAGTGTATAATAAATAATTGGATTCGCTTTGAATAGTTTGAAGGTCCGTTTGTGCATTTTGAAATACCAAACCTAATAACTTTGATATATTCTTTGAAAGAAAATCTTTATAAAATTCAACATTTTCTAATTTATATGTAACATTTTTTTCAACTATAAAATTTAGTATGTTAGTGTATGTGTATAACTAAATGAATTGGAATAATTTAACAAAATGGTTTTAAAAATACATACTGGTTTTTAGGTACATTCCATATATCTTGGTGATATATTTATTTTGTTTAAATAATTTCTCTTTTTTAATTTTTTCAAATTTGAAATTTATTAAAAGCTTCTTTAAAATTACAAATGTAAATTTGTCTAAGCAACCCATTTGAATAATCTTCTTTTCATCATCATCAAACAATTCATTAAATTTGGCTTTTGCATTGCCGATACCAAACTTGTTGATGATTAATGTACCATGAGCAATATTATTCCTCCATTGGGCACCACCAGACTCTTCACTGTATCTATGCCTGAATATTTCTCTAAATTTGCCTGCAATATAAACATTGAAAAAGCAATCAATTCTAAAATAATTAATTATATCCATGTTACTATTATTATTACTATTATTACTGTTATTACTATTATTAATTAAAGATGTGTAAAAAATAAATTGTGTGTAAAAAAAAAAAAAAAAAATTGTGGGTAATAATTATTATTTTGTGGGTTAAAAAAAAAAAAATTTAAATAATAAAAAAATAAATTCCAAAAATAGATGAATTATTTAAGTCATTATCTGTTTAATTACATTATTTTAAATTATTTGGGATGGAACAATATGTGATGAATATTCCATTTAATAAACATGGCATTTGATGAAATAGTTTGAACATGTTTAATAATTTACATCTTGAACGAATTGATCGTTAAATATAAAACTATAAATTTTTTATTTATAATACAGAGCCACAGGTAATTAACTACAGACGTTTATTAAGTGCAATCTGCAACATTGTTAATCAGCTAGCTAATCAATACTTTAATTGAACCTAATGCTGGGAAATAATTAAACTTTAATGATTTTAAATATAGTTGAATCAATTTTGATTATCTTTTGATATACATCTAGATTAAAGATCTATCAGTATTAATTTTATATGAATTTCAAGTAACATTTTTAATAATTATATTAACTTTCTATTTATTCTTTGTTTTAAAAGAAAATAGCTTTAATTTTCTTGGTGGATGCCCAGTAAATCAAATTCTTAAAGATTTTAGCTAAATTTACAAGTGGCCACTTGTAAAACAAGAAACCCATTATCTCTGTAATTTTTTTTCATTTGAAATTGGAAATATAAAAAAAAAAAATTATTTGAATTTTTCAAAAAAATGATTGTAAAATTATTTGAAAAAAAGAAAAAAAAATTTTTAAAAAACCATTCCCACCCATTTTTTTTTATTTTTTTTATTTTTTTCAATTATTTAAATAAATTTTTTTTTTTTTCATTTTCATTAATTTCAAACAAATACAAATATAAATATAAATAAAATGGAAGGTGAAGATGTTCAAGCTTTAGGTATGTTTTATTTTAATCACACAATATTGCAATAATTTTGAACTGAATATTAATTTTTTATTTTATTTTTTAATTAGTTATCGATAACGGTTCAGGTATGTGCAAAGCCGGTTTTGCTGGTGATGATGCCCCAAGAGCTGTTTTCCCATCAATTGTTGGTCGTCCAAGACACACTGGTGTTATGGTCGGTATGGGTCAAAAAGATTCATATGTTGGTGATGAAGCCCAATCAAAGAGAGGTATCTTAACCCTCAAATACCCAATTGAACACGGTATTGTTACCAATTGGGATGATATGGAAAAAATCTGGCATCATACTTTCTACAATGAATTACGTGTTGCCCCAGAAGAACACCCAGTCTTATTAACTGAAGCCCCATTAAATCCAAAAGCTAACAGAGAAAAAATGACCCAAATTATGTTTGAAACCTTCAACACCCCAGCCATGTACGTTGCCATTCAAGCCGTCTTATCATTATATGCCTCAGGTCGTACCACCGGTATTGTTATGGATTCAGGTGATGGTGTTTCACATACTGTTCCAATCTACGAAGGTTATGCCTTACCACATGCCATCTTACGTTTAGATTTAGCTGGTCGTGATTTAACCGATTACATGATGAAAATCTTAACTGAACGTGGTTACTCATTCACCACCACTGCTGAAAGAGAAATCGTCAGAGATATCAAAGAAAAATTAGCCTACGTCGCCTTAGACTTTGAAGCTGAAATGCAAACTGCTGCCTCATCATCTGCCTTAGAAAAATCATACGAATTACCAGATGGTCAAGTCATCACCATCGGTAACGAACGTTTCCGTTGCCCAGAAGCCTTATTCCAACCATCATTCTTAGGTATGGAATCAGCTGGTATCCACGAAACCACTTACAATTCAATCATGAAATGTGATGTTGATATTCGTAAAGATTTATACGGTAATGTCGTCTTATCAGGTGGTACAACTATGTTCCCAGGTATTGCTGATCGTATGAACAAAGAATTAACTGCTTTAGCCCCATCAACCATGAAAATTAAAATCATTGCCCCACCAGAACGTAAATACTCTGTCTGGATTGGTGGTTCAATTTTAGCCTCACTCTCAACTTTCCAACAAATGTGGATTTCAAAAGAAGAATATGACGAATCAGGTCCATCAATCGTCCACAGAAAATGTTTCTAAATTATTTATTATGTACAATATAAAACTTTTAATAAAACAAAATATATATAAACTATTTCTTTAATGTCGATTTTATCCTTAAAGAAATTTAAAAAAATATTATAAAACTTTTTATTTTTATTTTTATAGCTTTTTAAAGAGCATTCAAACCATTATCAATTTGGGAATCACATTGTGATGCCATTTCATTAATTTTTTTATGAACCATATCAATGATTAATTCTTTTTGGCCAATTATTATATTAAATGGAATTTCATCTTGGTTTCCATATCTAATTATTATTTCTGCTAATTTCAATGGACTTTTATTTGGGTATTTTGATATTACACTTTGCGAAATTTCATTTAATGTGTCATATCCATCAATTTGTTTTGAATAAATATTTGTGGATTTGAAAATTGATGATTCTATGGAGCCCAAAACAATATATGATACCTTAATATTAAATTTTTTAACTTCATAATGTAAAGCTATGAATAAAAAAAAAATTAGTATTTTTTAGATTATATATATTATTAATTTTAGAAATTACATTCTGTTAAACCACTTAAGGCACATTTAACACTACCGTATGCCCCAACATAAGGAACAGGTTTAATACCACCCACCGAACCAATATTGAAAATGTATCCATATTTCATTTTTCTAAAATATGGTAATGCTGCTTTGATTACATTTAAGGGTCCGAAATACATACAATCGAATAGTTCTTTGTAATCTTCATTAGAAACCTCTTCAATTGAACCTATTTTAACCATGCCACTATTATTTACAACAGTAGTCAAAGTCCCAAAATAATCAATTGTTTTTTTGATAGACTCATTTACATTATCAACATTTGTAATATCTACTTGTAATGGTAAGAAATTTGGGTGGGTAACTAAACTTTTTAAACTAGCAAGTTTATTTAAATCTCTTGATGTTCCGGCAACCTTGTATCCACTGTCCAGCAAAACTGTTGCTAAACCCAACCCAACCCCACTTGTGACACCCGTAACATACCATACTGTGTTATTCATTTTTTATAAATCTTGAAAATTATATATTTTATATTGTTAGGAAAAAGAAATTTATAAAAATAGTAAATTTTGATTAATAGACAAAGAAAAAAAAAAAAAAATTATAAAAAAAATTTTAAATATTGTTGCTCTATTTATTTCAATTTATTTAAATATACTTGCTCTTAATAATCAAATAAATTTAAAAAATAAAAAATAAATATAAAGAAAATTTTTGAATTTTTTGTAACTAATAGATTGAAAATTTTTTTTATTATAAAAGTAAAAATAAAAATAAAAATAAAGAATAATTTTAAAAAATAGATATAATAACAAATAGATTTATTGTATGTTTAGAAACTTTCAATAATATAAATTTAAAGATTAAAATAATAAAAAAGAAAAATAAAATAAAATAAATATCCTCTACAACCATTATTGTTATGGATTCAGGTGATGGTGTCTCCCATTCTGTTCCAATCTACGAAGGCTATTCCACATGCCATCATACTTTTAGATTTAACCGATTACATGATGAAAATCATACGAATTAACAGATGGTCAAGTCATCACCATCGGTAACGAACCCTTTTAAAAAAATATAAAAAAAAAAAATCTTGAAAATTTATATTATGGTTATTGTTCTAATACAAAAAAAAAAAAAAATTAATTATTTCATTTAAACTCTATTAATAGTTTTATTTATAAATCTAAAACTATAGGGTTTATTATTTTGAATATATTTAATTTATTTATTGTTGAAACAATGTTTCGATATGGGTTAATTTTAAAAAAAATAAAAAAATAAAAAAAATTTTTATTTTTTAAATTCCCACACCAACAACCAAATTAAGAAAAAAAGAAAATTAAATAATTTTTTAATATGATAATGTTTTAAAAAAACGAATTTTAGTTTTTTATATAATATCATTTTAAATACTAGTTTTAAATATATAAAAAGATGCATAGAAATAGTCCAACAACAAACACAAATAGAAATAACCCAGTTTTAAATAGAGGCGCACCCAATTTAAATAATAACAATAATAATAGTCCAGCAACAAACACAAATAGAGGCAATCCAATTTTAAATAGAGGTGCACCTAATTTAAATAATAATAACAATATTAGTCCAATAAATAGTCCTATTGTTAATAGAAACAATCCACCATTGAATAGAAGTAGTCCAACTATAAACACAAACAACAACCCAAATACCCCACCAAATATAAATAGAAACAGCAATCCAGCTTTAAATAGAAGCAATCCAACTATAAATACAAATACCAACACAAATACCCCTCCTTTAAATAGAAGCTATCCAAGTATAAATACAAATGTTAACACAAATACCCCACCACCAGCCATCAATAGAAATAACACAAATACCCCACCCCCAAACACAAATGTAAATACAAATAACACAAATGACAACAAACCAGATGATAAATCCAAAGATGAAAAGGATGGAAACGAAATTAATTGGCAAGTACGTACAAGTATAAATATATAGAGTAAAAAAAATAAATTAAAAAAATTCTAATTTTAATTATTCATATAGGATATAGTTGATAGACAAATTGTTGGTTCTGGGTACATTGATTTTGGAAGTATATTGGATATAAATGGTAAAGTTTTAGCAAGCAAAAACATTACTATTAATGAAGAAGAAGCTAAACAATTTATAAAAGATTTAAAAAACAATGAACAAATTTTAAAACTTGCTGGTAAAAAATACAACACAATGATAAATAAAGATAAAGAATATTACCATGGTAAAGAAGGAAATAATGGGATATTTTGTTTGAAAACTGTATTTATTATTTAATGTTTTTATACTTTATTGATGCTTTTATATTAATTATTATTTTTATTTTTTCATATTAACCACCTTCAAATAAAATAGAAAAGCAACTATATAATAGGACATTATTGCGAGTATCACCATTACGATAACCCATTTCCAAAGAAATCCCAAATTGTTATTGAAACAGTAGCTAAAAATATGAAAGGTAGGATATTATTTTAATCTATTTTTAATTTAAATTCATTTTTTATTAATATTATCTTATTTTATTATTTTTATTAAAAAGAAATAAACTTATAAGAAAGAGTCCGTATGATATTTCCTTTTTTAATGATTAAAATATGCTTTTTTTTCAATTAAATTAAAACAATAAAAAAAATTTTTTTTTAAATTTTTTTTTTTTTTTTGATTTTTTTTCATTTTTTTTTTTTAAATTTAAAAATTATTAACAACCCTCTAATTTGTATATATATCTTAACTTTATATAAATCTCTATACTTATTTTATCCATATATATATAACAATAATGATAATATAATCAATTATTATATATCAAGTTAAAATAAAATAAATTTTATTTATAAAAAAATGAATAACAACAATAACATCAATAACAATAACAATAGTAATAGTGATAATATATCTTCATTTTTGCAAGCACTACCATCTTCTGGAGTCTTATTTTCAAAATATAATATAAAAAAAACTGTACAGTAACTCATTCATTTATTACATTATCTATCTCAACATAATATTAATTATTTATTCTACATTAATAGGTCACAAAGAAAGAAATTCCAAAATATATTCCAGCCCATGACACCAACCCTCCAAGTAAGTATTTATGTTTATATTAAGCAAATTAGATATAGATTTTTAATATTTTTATTTTTAGATAACGAATTTGTAAAAAATGAAGATGATAATATATTAATAAGGTCACTAATAAAAAACTCAGTTCACAAAAGGTATGTTAATAGTAGAAAACCAATTAATAGAAGAAAATAAATCTATCATACTAAAACCAATATTAATTTTTTTTAGAATCAATGAACAAAGTAAAGAAAAGAAAAAAAACAATGAAAGTGATAATGAAGATGACTCGACTGTACCCTCAAGCTTTGTTTCTGAAATTGAAAACTCTAGCCCAAATAAAAGAACAAGATCATAACTATAAAATCAAAAAAAAATAATAATAACAATAAAATCAATTTTTCCATAAATAGATTGGTTTTTATGTCATTTTTTTAAATTAAGAAAAAAAAAATAAAAAAAAAAAAATAAAATTTTTTAACAATCTTTTCGAAAAAAATTTTTTATTTTTTTTATTTTTTAATGTTTACTGCAATTACAATGATTTTAAATAGGTTTAAATTTAATAATACAAATACATTAAAACACATTCAATTTATAAGAAGTTTTTGCAACAGTAGTAACACAGAGTTTGATCTTTTTGAAAAAAGATTCAAAAGAGTTCCAATTAAAAATAATAATACTAATAATAATAATAATAATAATAATAATGTCCCTGTTCGTCAACCAGAAAATGATAGAAATAATTTAAAGAGTTTACCAGGTCCACAATTCATCCCAGTCATGACCGAAGAAAAACAAAAATTGGCATCGGATGAATCAAGAAGGGTTATAGAGGGTCACAAGAATGAGCTAAATGAATTTTATAGAAATAATAGAGAAGAAATTGAAAAGAATTTAGAAATCAATACAATAAAGAAACCTTTTGCATTATGTTTTGGATATGATGGTACAGGTTTTTACGGCTTATCATACAACAAGGATTTGAAATATAAAGCAATTGAAAATGCCATAGAGAAAGCTTTGTTTATAAATGGGCATATTGCTCCTTCGAATGTTGGCGATTTATCAAGAATAAAATGGAGCAGAAGCAGCAGGACTGATAAAGGTGTACATTCATTATCAACACTTATTTCATGTTTTATTTTAGTCGATGAAAAAACTAATCAAAGAGAAGGATTATCTAAAGAAACAATCGAATCGATTAACAAGCATTTACCAGAATCTGTAAGATTATTATCAGGAACACGTATTTCAAAGAGTTTTAGAGCAAGAAGAGGTGTATGTGAAAGAACCTATCACTATATGGTACCAAAAAAATATTTAGAGGGCATTTCAATCGACCATATGAATGAAATTTTATCAAATTATATTGGTAATTTCAGTTATCACAACTACACAAGCCAAAGAAACACCTATTTAGCTGAAAAAAATAAAAAACAAAGCGAGGATGATGATGATGAGGATGAAGGAGAAGATTTTGAAGAAGAGAATCAACCAAAAACTATATTATCGCCAACAACTGTTACAATAGATAGAATATCAGAAAAAAAAATGTTTAGGGTCAATCCAAAGAATATGAGAACCGTAAAGAAATTTTATGTAGAAAGCGACCCAATTCTTATTAACAATCAAGAATGGTTTAGATTTGTAGTTACAGGTGAATCGTTTATAACTTTCCAAATTAGAAAAATGATGGGTTTCTTTTTTATCAGTTGCTAAAAAAATACAGCCAATAGAAGCTTTAAAAGTATCAATCGACTCACCATTTATTGTATCAACACCAACAGCACCACCATTTTCACTCTACCTTTACGAGTTTGAATTTGAAAATAATAAAAAACAACCAGTTTGTACCAAAACAGCATTCTCAGATACATACAAAACATTTAAAAAAGAATTTTTATCTAATCAACTACATCAACGATTTGATCAAATAGAAAGGGATACCAACCAATTCAGCACATTTTTCGAAGAGCTACAACAGCATCAATTCCTTTTAGATGATTTACCACATGTCATAGAATTAAATAATGAATTTAAAAGAGAAAAAGCAGAAAGACAAAAGATGCACGAAGAAAGAAAATTACAAAGACAGGAACAAAGAGAAAGAGAAAGACTAGAAAAAGAAATGCAAGAAAAAGAAATGCAAGAAAAAGAAAATCAAGATGAAGAAGATGAAAATGAAAATAAAAACAAAGAGGATCAAAAGTGAATATCTTTAAATAAATAAATTTTGTTTTTAAAAATGGAACAAAAAGAAAAGACTATTTAAAATCTTTAACTAGTTTATTTTTTTATTTTTTATTTTCTTTTTATTTACAATTAATTTAAAATATTCTATGCCCTGCTTATCCATTGACGCGATGTTGGCTCCCAGTATTTGCCATTGTCAAATCTACCTGTGGTTACTGTTATTAATATTAAAAATGCGGGATACAATATTAGTGTTGCTAAAGATACCCTTGCAAAAGCTTTTACATTTTTATTTGGTTCTCTAATATACATAATTGAATAAATTAACGGGAAATAGAACAACAAACCAAGAGCAAAAAACAATCGAGCATAGTTGTAATGTTCACATTCTACCTTTTCATCTTCGTTATGTTGTAGGTCTTGAAGCTGATTTAGTTGTGGCTTTGGTTGATCATTTATTTGGATTTGATTATCGGTCAGTCTTCTCTGCTCTTCATCTTTGATACCACCCAGTACTGTTGATAAATCTGTAGTTGATGATGATGACACTGATGATGAACAGATTGAATCTTTATCTAAATTAGAATTTATCAAACTATTTTTATCATTTTCAATATCTATATCTTCTTCGTCATCATCCATTATATTTCTTATTTTAGATGAATGAACTAATAAAACTTCATTCTTATTATTATCCCCTAATATTTCAGAACTTTTATTTTTATTTATATATGACAAACCCATTTTATTTATTTTAATATATTATATAGTAACTATTCTATTTGATATATAGGTGTTTAATACTATATACTTTTATTATTACTACTATTTATTTTTTATTATTTAATTTGTTTTATTTTTAAATTATTAAGACAGTAAAAAAACAAAAATACACACAAAGATATTTATATTAACACACAAATTATAAAAATCCACACAAAGAAATAAACACACTATGGTAGTTATACAAATTAAATAAAAAAAAATAGTTATAATATGTGGGGGGGGAAAGTTTCAAATTAAGGTTTCTAAGGGAAAATTAAAAAAATTTTTTTGGGTTATTTTTTTAAGGGTTTTTTTTTACCTTCATTTGTTTCCCCTTTTTTTTTTTTTTTTTTTTTTTTTTTTTTTTTTTTTTTTTTTTTTTTTTTGTTTTGTTTTGTTTTGTTTATTTATTAACTTTTAAAATTTTATTATAATAAAACTTTCGAGTTTATAATAATAATTATTTTTTTTAAAGTTAGAAGAATCCTTCATTGATTAAATACCAATAAAAAATTAAACACATTAAATTTAATAGTGAATTTATTTATATTTTTCAAATACCTAAATTCCTTTTTTCTTAATATATATTTTTTAAAAAAAAATTGTGGTAAGTTACATTTGTTTAATTTGTAAACCTCTATATAGATAATTGTGTGGGAAAATGTTTTGTGTTTGTTTTTTTTATATGTAGATTTTTTTTTTTTTCGAATAAAATTTAATTTTTTTAATATTATGTGGTGTATAAAATAAACCCCATACATACATATAAGTTTATTTTCATATGTTTACCACAAAAAAAATAAAAATCTTCACACCCCACCACCAACATACTACTCAATACAAATAAAAAAATAAAAAAATATTCACACAAATACACACCAAAAGAACACCAAAGAAAAAATACCAAACATATATTAATTTTTTTAATAATTTGAAATACTTTTTAAATGGAGGAGGTATTTCAAATATTAATAAATTTTTTTTCATTTTGTTTTTTGTTATATTCTTATTTTTTGCGATTTAAACAGTTGTATTTTGCTAATTATTGTAATAATTATAAACACACTTTGTTGAGTTGTTAAAGTTATCTAAATAAATATAATTTTATATTAAACTATCAATATTATAATAAAAATCGTTATTATCATATCAAAGAAAAATAAGAAATCAAAAATCATTTTGAATACTAATTGATATTATTAAAATAGCAAATAAACACTCCGTCACTAATTTTCAATTGTTTAATATCTACAAATAATATATAATTAAAATTAATACTATAATATTAAAAATATTAACACTACGCCAAACTAAACACATCAAGTATAAATATAACTTAATTATAATAATATTAACAAATAACTAATATTATAATAAAATAATAAAAATTATTAATAAATAATAAAGAAGATTATTTATCAACTACTTTATATAAATCAAAACCAAAATCAAAAAAAATAATAAAAATAATTTTTTTTTGATTTTTAATTTATATATAATTACTTAAATCTTTTTATTTTTAGATACAATAATAAATAAATATAAAAAATAATAACTACACTATATATTATATAATATATACAAATAGGAAATGACATTTCAAGATGTGGAAATTAATGAAAAAATACCATTTATAAATGTTTGCAAATGTGGTTCCAAAGATTTCGAAAACTCTGAATCGAAAAGAGCAAAACTATTCTTTTATATTGGCCATATAATAATAATATTTCATTTCTTAAATTTATCAAAACTGTTTTCAAGCAACGATACCGCCAAAAGATACGCTATTGGTTCTTTATCATATATACTCTTTTCATTGTCAATATTTTTATATATAGCGCTTTTCCTTTACTGCAAAATGGGTCTCAGTATTTTCGAAGAAGATTTTTATTTAAAATTTAAAACATACTATAACTAAATAAAAGAAAATAAACTTTTTGTAAAATTTTATTATTTATTTAATTTATTTCTAATTTTTCCTATTTTTTATTTAAATTTAAAAGAGGACTCCATATTTTCAAAACCTTTTAGAGCATTTATATATTTTACATTATTAGGATTTAATTTTACTTTTAATTTTATTTTATTACGAACACTTTCAAAACTAAACTTGTTTGCTGCGTTCGATCCTAAAAAATTAAAAAGTAAATCAAACCTATCTATAATTATATAATAATTTAAAAGAAAGACTTCTTTATAATTATAACCAAGAATTTCCTTTGCCTTATTGTTAAAATAAAGCAATAATAATTCAACACAATCACCACTATTGAAATCTGGACCAGTTAAATAATCTATAGTGAAAACATCTTGATCAATAAAATCTTTAACAAAACTTTCGATAGGTTTTTTTGTTCCTTTTCTATGACACAAACATTTTCCACCCAAATCATTATGAAACCCAATTGTCATAATTGTATCTACAATGTATTTTATCATTTGATGGGATTTTGCTAAAATATAGTAAAATGAATGATAAACCGAATGTTCTAATATAATATTTGAACGATCGATAAGCTGCTTTACTCTTTTTATTTCATACAGAGTTATACCATAGATTTGTATATACCTTTTATAAAGGTAGTTTAATATATTTGTAAAAACTGGCATACTTGAATTTGAAACCCTATTGACCCAAAATATAATATAATCTGTTGCTAATTTATGATCAATATGATAAATTGTGTTGATTTCTTTGTGTTTTTTAAAAATTTTAAACTTGAAGAATTTTTTAATTTTATTATTTTTTGAATAGAGACCTATGTTCCCACACTTCCAAAGATCATTAATCTTTTCTAAGAATTGTTCGTTTAAATCTATAGAGTTTAATATAATTTTTGTCGTATATAGATCAAACTCTATAATAGAATGAACTAATAGCTGTAAGACCTCTCTAATCTTTGTGTTTGAAATTGATATTATTATATTATCTATTATTTTATTTGTACCTTGCTTATATTTCTTTTCCAATTGTCTTGCAAAATGTTTAATTAAAACAGAATGGAATTCGAATCGTAATTGATTATCTTGCATACTATATTTTTTCAAAAAACCATATATTAAATCATATGTGTTTTCATTATTTTCATTTTGGAATTCTTCGTCAATAATGGCCTCATCCCATTTTAATTGGCTTAAAACTGATGATAAAGGGTTATTTAAGATTTGAGACCATTTGATCGGTTCGATTTTATTTGGACAAGTTTTATAGCATGAGTCTATTTTTAACATTGCATAAGTTTCCAATTGGTTATTTTGAAAAATTATTAATTTTTTTTTTTTTTTTTCAATATAAAATTTTGCTAAATTATTAAACCTATGTACTGATCTGGAGATTTTTGAAACTGTGTTTATTATATCACCATCTTTGATTATAATAACACTATTACATGGACCCATTATTTCTTGATAGTGGCACGACCACTCTAAAGGTATCTTTAATTTATCACCAATAAAACTGTATAATGGGCTCATTGCTTTATCATACCACTCTTTAGTATTCATTACTGTATAAATAATAAATATTATTTTATTTGCCAACACATAGTTTTTGTTCCAATTAGACCATTTTATTTCTTTAAAAAATGAATGTAAAAATTTTATTATTTCATCTTTATCATCATTTTCGATTAGTTTATCGATAGTTTTTAAAATATTATTTGTTTTTAAATTGATGAATATAGTGCTTGGTAATACTTCGATAATCTCGTAGTATTTAAAATAATAAATGCTGTATAGTTTTTTTGATGTAGAAACCTGAACCAATAGTTTGAATAATTTTTTTTCCTTTCCTTTCTCCTGGTCATCATTTAAAATTTCATTTATTGATGTAACTATCTCTTGAGGTATATCTGACTGAAAACTAAATTTGTAATATATTTTAAAAAATAACAAAACCTCTTCTACACGATTAAATGGAAATTTGTTAGCCAAATAACCCAAACAACTATCACCTATATAATAATTCATGTCCAATAATTTGTTATAGACTTCAATATAATTTGGGTCTATATAATTCAATTGTTTATAATATTTATTTATATGATTGAAGTCGCATTGGTTTAATAATGAAGGTGTATTTAAAACCAATTTAAATTTCTCTAGATCTTTAGATATGATTTTAAATTTTTCTATATTCAATTTCTCTTTCTTTTGATTTTCCAACACATTTAATATAATTTCGGTGGCTCTATTTGAAAATTTTGATATAGCTAAGTGTAAATGGTCATTGTTTACAAATTGCCCATTCTGATTTAGTACAATTTCGAGGAGTTCTGCATCACCCATATACAACACAGCTTTTATTAAATCATCAATTTTATTTTGATTTTTATATTTTGAATTGCTATCAAACAAAGATTTAAATATTATTCTATACTCTTCTATTTTTTTTTCCCAACTTGTATATATTATATGGTAACTACCCTCAAAATCTATTTCTTGATTTGTATGAATCTTATCTTTGAGGAGCTCTATTTTGTTATTATCAATCATCCATTTAAATGATTTAATATTTATAAATGATATTCTATTTGAAAAATGATATTGTTCATAATTTTTATATTCAATATCATCATTTAACAAATGATAAAATATCTTTTTATTTATAAATAAATTTCTATAGACTTTCCAAAATATTATTTCAAATGTTTCCATTATATATATTTTATATTAATAATAAAACTTTTAAAAAAAAAATTTATATTACAAAAATTAATAAAAAAAAATAAATTTTAATTTTAAAGAAACTTTTAAAAAAAATAAGAAAAAAAAAAGATATTTTAATTTTAAAGAAATTATTTTTAAATATTTCCACAATATAGTTTTTTATTTTATATAATACATTTATTTTATTTTATTTTATTTACATTTAATTAATAATACATGTTTCTTTTTTAGGCTTTATTTGTTTTATAGGGACAAAAGTTGTTTCCTCTTCCAATGAATTACTATAGATTTTTAGGACCATATTTTGAATACACTTTTCTACATCTATTTCATATTTACTTGAACACTCTATATATTCTATACCAAGAGATTCTGCATAATCTTTTGCTTCATTATAATCTACAGCTCTTAATGAACTATTGAGTTCGACCAAATCTAGTTTTGCACCTACCAAAACTGCAACCACATTGTCTCTTGCATATCTTTCAACCTCTTGACGCCATTTCTTTGAATCTTCATATGAACCTCTGTCTGTTAAATCGAAAAACTATGTATTGTAAAAATGTAAAATAACTATAGCTATTAGTTTTATTTGTTTTTTTTTACGCCTGAGTTAAACCAATAATATACCAACAATAAAAACCCCATTACTTTGCCAATATGGTATCCTTATATTCCTGAAACATGCGCGAGCTGGCATATCCCATATCTGCACTTTAAAACAAAGCCCATCTAACTCTACCATTTTAATTAAAAAGTCCACTCCAAGTGAAGAAATAAAGCCCTCTGTATAGGTGTCTTTGCATGATCTATTTATGAAACAAGACTTACCAACACCATCATCCCCAATGACCAATAATTTAAATAAATAATCGAAACCTTTATTCATTTTTTAATATTATTTTTAAAAAACAATATTGTATTTATTAAGTGTTATTATTTTATTATTGGCGAGTTATTCCTTTATTTTTAAAAAAAAAAATCAAATAAATTTTAAAAAAAAAATATTTTAATTTTTTTTTTAGTTAAAAAACTTTATAAATTTAAATTTTTTTAATTTAGATTATTTAAATATCTTTTCCAAATAAAATGATCAAAAATAAAAAAATAACAACTTAAATTTTGTTTAATCTATAATTTTATTAATCTTTTTTTTTTTTTAAAATATCTCATTAACTTTACATATTCTATAGTACTATAGGATATAGTTTTTATTATTTAAACTGGATGGGGAATCAATCTATCAATGCCAGAAGCCCATAAAATGAATGGGTTGCCAATACCGTTATAGAAATAAGCTCCAGGACGGGGCATAAATTTTGAGACACCATTTATACCATAACCATTGCTTTTATTTGTTGCCTCAACCATTAAACCTTTGGTTTGGCTATTTGGGCCAAAATGGACAATAGAAGCTTTTTAAATATAAAAAAATTAATATTTTTAAATAATATATAAAAATTAAAACATAATACTTACAAATTAATGTCATTTTTTTGTTAATTTTAATATAAACAATTAATTTATTTTTTATTTTTTGGTTCTTATTTATAGACATTTCTTGCATAATTATTTGTTTAAAAAAAAAATTATAAAAAATAATATTTAAATTAATAAATACATGGCTTGCCCAATATAAATCTATATTATCTGTAAATATTAAAAATGAAATTAAATAACAATAAAATAAAAAGAATATATGAACTTCTTTGTTATTATTAAAAAGAATATTCTTTAAACTGCATAAAAATATGGATAAAAAAAATAACTATAAATAAATGTTATGTCTTTTGGAAAATGAATTTATACTGTATATAACATTTTTTTAAACAAATACAGTAAAATTTTTCAAATAAATACCTAAAATAGTAAAAACACACTTAACACTTTACACACCACCCCTAACACTCCGCACACCTCATATCTTCATATGCGTTGTACTTTAGACAAAATAACAACATCTATTTTTATATTAGCCTTTTTTTATTTGAAATATATTAAAAAAAAAATAAAGATTATATTACAATTTTTTTAAATAAACTTTAAACATATAAAATATAAAAATATAAAAAAAATATAAAAAAAAAAAAAAAATATTCAAATATTAAAAAAAATAAAATTTTTATATATCCATAGTAAGTTTTTTTTTTTTTATATTTATTAAACAATATGGTAATTATTTTTAAATATTAAATAGAAAATAGGAATATTCATTCAAATTAATTAAATTCAAAGTGATAGATGTTATATATAGATAAGTTTTTTTTCAAATAACTAAACTCTGCAATAAGAAAATCTAAATTTTTTGTTGAATTGTAAAAAATGGCACATGAACGCTATCTGCATTCAAAAATATCAAATTAGATTGCATATGTCCATAAATCTTTATTAAAAAAATAAATATAAAAAAAAAATCAAAATTGAAAATTTTTGCGGAATTTCATCCATCATTTTATCATTTTGATTTTTTTATTATT